GGGGGGGGGACACGACTTCCCTTCCCTAAACCTCGGGGAAGCAGGTGGGCGGAGCCAGAAGGGGGAGGGGTGGGAAGCCTGACCCAAGGCCGGAGCCGCCCAGGCGTTGGGGCTGTGGTCGTGCCTAGGAGGGCTGCTCCATCCAGTCCAGCTCGGGCAGAGCCAGGCCCTTTGGGAGCTCCGCAGGCGGGGCCCCCGCTGGGCCAAGGATCCTCGGAGCAGACCACACCACCACCACCCCCACCCCTGCCCCGGCACCGGCCCACCACTGCTGAGGAGCCGCTATTGGAAACAGCTGCCCTCGGTGGGAGGCCTCCTTTCATGTCCGGATCCTGATCCTGCTCCTGGACACCCCCAGCCCCTGGCACTAGGGATTCGCTCCAAGCTGGGCCCCTCACTGAGCGCCCACCCTCGCGCTGGGGGAGGGGCTTCTGGGGAGCAAGCTGTTTTGCCTCCTCCGGCAATGTCCTCGCTACTCAGCAGTGGGGCGTGCTGCCACCCCAAGGCCTCCTTGCGGCCCCCCATCCCACTGACCCTGAGGGGCCTGGAGGAGCAGACCCTCTGGATGGGATGGCATGGGGTGAGGAGCCCAGAATGGAGGATGTGAGAATACTGCTCCAGCCTGCACCAGAAAACAGGAGAGACACAGACGCAGTGTCCACTTATCTGGCACCTTCTCTGTGTGTGTCCATGGGGGTCTCTAGGGTGGGGGCACAGGTGGGACAGTGGCTGGGCCCAGGCAGGGAGGCCCTCAGTGGGGCTGTTAACATGGCAACAGGACAGGCGGGGCTGGTGCTCCCTCCTCCTGCCCTGGCTGGAGGTGGGAGGGTGCACACCTAGGCAGAGGCTCCCGGACTCCACCTGCTGTGGGCCACATCCCTACCAGTCTATCCCCATAGCAGGTGCACCTTGGCCCAGCTGACCCAGGGCTCCAGGGGTGGGTCACCTGTCCCCCCTGGGGGCAAGCCTAGAGCAGGAGTTGATGGGCCGTGAGGGGTGGGTGTGGCTTGCACACTCATGGGTGATGTGTCCTCTTCATGCATGAGCCCAGGACTCAGCATTGGTGCTCCTCCGTGACGTATGTGGCTGGACTGGACCACACTTGTCCCTTTGTGCCTCAGCTTCCCTGCCTCCCTACTGTGTGCCAGCACTCATGTATACTTTGAAGGAGCAAATGATGTCCCTGGTGTCCTGCGTATATTTTTGTCTGTCCTTCCACCCGCCCGGGCTCTACACCTCCGAGTTCATCTCATGCCCTCCTCAGCTTGTCTGTCCCTTTATGTGTATCTTTCTTTGTCCCTTTGTCTTTGAGTTTTCTGGGCCCTGCTGTTGATGGGGTGGGGATAGGGGACCCAGGTGCAGCCCCCTCACTCTGCTAGCTGAGATGTGGGGCTCATGCCAATTAATACAGAGATGATGTCACCCTGCCTCCGAGAGGCAGGACACCCCTAAAAACAGCCCCTCACCTGTTCACCTCCCTACACACACAGGCAGCAGCATGGACTCCAGGCTTGCTGCACGTCCATGTGCTCAGTCTCAGACACAATGGGTGTCTCACACAGTCACCCTCATGGATGGTCACACACACAATCACACGGCCACGGTCACAGCATCACAGCCGTGCTCAGAGCCTCGTGTGCACACACACACGTGTACACACTCACATGCAGTCAGAGTCGGTCTCACCCGCAGTCATTCAGAGCCACACACATTGTACAGAACCCACACATCTCACAGACCACAGTCCTGGGCGCTTGGAAGACTGAGCTGTGACTTTTCCACATCAGGGTTGTCAGGGGTCACCTGTACCCCCCATATGCTATGGGGGTGGGGGCTGTGGCAGTACAGACCAGGGGGATACATGATCCGTCCTCTTGGCTTGAAGACCTGCTAGGCCCTGAGAAGTGTGAGTGTGCAGGGGATTCACTTCTGGGGGTGCTCGTGGACCCTGCCCCAAGAAATGAGAAGAATCACCCAAGATGTTTGTTGCCAGCTTTCCCTGAACCCGTGGGCTCCCCAGTGAGGGGGCACCAGACGGGAGCTGGGGGGACCAAGGAGAAAGTGTGGACAGGGGGTGTTCCAGTCTTGCTGGGGGCAGGGGCAGAGGGCTAGTGTGATGGGGCTAGAGTTTGGGGCTTGAGATGTGAGGCCTGGGCCCCGCTGCTCTGGTCATTGACCTGGACAGGTCACCCTGGGGAGCAGTGTGGGTGTGACATGGTGCTGCTCTCTCTGGGGACACTGGGTTGAGAATGACAGGAGCCCCAAGGTGCCTAGTCTGCATAGAGTTTGACCCTGCCAGTCTCCTTGGGAAAAGGGCACTGTCCTGGGCGGTCCTTGGGCTTGAAGTAAGTTTCAAGGAGGAGATGAAGATGATGACCTGGGTGGGCATGTGGGGGGATTGCTGGGTGTAGTCTGTTCCTTATTAGGCTTGAGTTAAAAAGAGGGGTGAGCCAGGAGGCGATGGAGAGCTAGGAGAGTGGGAGTAGCCATGTCTGGTGCCTCCCACCAACTCTGATTGGGGGCGTGTCCTGGAAGGATGGAGAAGTGTGGGTGCTGTCGGGTCCACGCCAGGATCAGGCTGTCTGGGGCGATCTGGAGGGAAGGGCACGTCTAGGGTGCCCCAACAAGCACAGAGGCGGGTGTCAGACGAAAGGCGAGGGGCTTTATTGTGGCCTTACCGCGCCCAGGGGCTCCTTTCCTTTACAGCAAACAAGCGTTGTCATTGCTCACATTTGAAAAGCCCCTGCTACGCTGATGCTTTTAATCAGTGAAACCCCTTGAAAGAAAAAGTTCAAAAATTAAAAATATTAAATATATTGTATTATGTATATAAAAGGCAAAGTAACAAATACAGCCTGGTTCTAGAAAATACACCGCAGGAAAGGATTAGGCGCTTCAAAAACTTAAACGTTGGCAGGGCCAGCCAACAGGTCCTAGGCCTGGGCTCCCTGAAAAGCCCCGGGGCCCGTGGGAGCCACCCAGCAGAGCGCCGCCGCGGGCGGCCGAGCGCACGCGTCGCCGCTTCCTGCGGGACTGTTGCAAGTACCCGCAGCTACACGCACAGCAGACAGAGCGGCGGTCGGCGGCGTGCGGTCGGCGGCTGCCGTGGGAGGCGCTGCGCCCAGGCCCGAGGGCCGCCTAGCCCGAGATGCACGCGCTGTAGTACACGGCGCTGCTGGCGTCCGACAGCGCGGCTATCAGGCTGCTCTCCTCCGGGCAGGACATGGCGCGTGGGCCCAGCTTGGCCAGCGCCACGTGGTACGGGAGCCCGGCGGCGTCGGGCCGAGTCCGGCTGCAGTTGAGGTACTGGTCGAACTCGGTCAGGTCCACGTCGGCCCACAGGTCGGCGGCGGGCCCCAGCGGCTCCGTGCCCTCCAGCGGCGGGGCCTCTGGCGGCGGCGACAGCGGGCCGGGATACGCACCTGGGCCGGGCGCGCCCAGG